TAGAAAGAAAGATTATGAAAACTGGGTGGGTTGGAAAGAAAAGCAAAAATGTGTTTTCTTTCCAGATCAGACAAATGAAAAGAAAAACTACACAGACTAAGAGGCTACCTCCAGTGAACCCTCCCAGTGTCTAAACTGGCCTCACATCTCTCCTGATAAACATTGTGAAGGCAGTCCAGTGTTTGAGCCAGAAGGTCCAGCTATGAAGGAGCCACATGAAGCCCAGTGATCAAAGAGAAATCTCACAGACTGATCTGGTCTATGATTCTGGCATTGCTCCAGCATACCCGTATGTCATCAAGACCCCTGAGGTTGTTTATTAAGGTGTTAACATGTGTTTCTGTGCAGACGAATGTGTGTTTAGGATCAAACACATCTTTGAAATCTCAGCACAAAGCAAAGTATGAGGAGTGTTCAATTATGGAGATTTTTTTTTTACCTATAACTCAAACAATTTGCAAAATTCCAACAAAGTTAAGTCAGGTCCTCTGGACGGTTTCTTTTTGTTGAACCGTTTCATCTTTCATCCAAAGGACTTCATCAGTCTGAGGAGCCACAACAAACTCAGTCTTATAAATAACACCTTCACATTGTGGGTCAACCAGTTGAACTTTGATATTTTGACGCACTTTGGCCATGGCTGCCTCAAATGAGTCAGCGGGGGAGAGGACAGACTCCAGAAACCATCTGAGCACCATCATACTGTTGACCCACTATGAGAAGGTGCTATTTATAAGACTGAGAGTGTTGAGGCTCCTCAGACTGATGAAGTCTTTTGGATGAAAGATGAAACGTTTCAACAAAAATAATTCGTCCAGAGGACCTGACTTAACTTTGTTGGATTTTTCTACCAGGATTATTGAGCATGAACTTTCAAGGTTCTTTATTGTCATTCTCATCACATGTGGTACATGAGGTGGAACAAAATTATGTACTAGTTACACCCAAAAATAGCAAAAATATAAAGTACAAAAAAGAAACAGTATACAAGAATCTATGATACATGCTAAACAATAATAATGTAATGTAATACGATGCATTAACTTTGATATTTTTCAAAAGTGTCTGTACATGGTAAATGGACTGTACTTATATAGCACCTTTCTATCTTATTAAGACATTCAAAGCACTTTACAACAATCTGTGCCTCATTTACCCATTCATACAGCTCTATACTAGATCTCTCTCTACAAAGCTAATTGAACAAATCATTCTAAAGAGACTAATCAGAGTTTTATCACATTCAAACACTGATGGGACACACATCAGAGGCTATGAGGGGTTCAGTGTCTTGCCCAGGGACACTTCAGCATGTGACTGCTGGTGGAACTGAACCCCCAACTCCTGCATAGGAGGACGACTGCTCTAACCGCTCAGCCACAGCCGCCCACAAACAACAATAAATTGACCGTGCGGTTGCTTTTTCTTTGTGGTCGTGAAGAGCTAGGATTTAAATATTGACAGAGGAAGGAAATAATACGCCCTGACTTATTGATGATAGTTAATGTTTTGCATCATCAGCAAGAAAAGAAAGGGAAAAAAAAAATCTTTAATCAAGCTTTACATTGTAACAAATATAGCTGGAATTTCAAGAAGTCATAGTTTTGTTCACATACAAGTCACAGCACAAATAATCCTTGATAAGAAAGTGAAATGTTGGCTTCTGGCTGAATGTAACTATCTGAGCAAACTTTAACAAAGTGCACCAGTTTGGTCAAAACACACCAAACAGATTAAAACAAGCACAAAAATAAAACAGTCTTGTTTAATTAAACTCAGATGCTTCTGTTAAATCTTGAGCACCAAAGAGACCTTGAGTGCAGCTCAGTTCACTAATGCAGGGAATTCAAAGACCTAATCAGTCTCAGTTGCCACCGAGACTCGTTCCCAAGCTTTCATCCAGTTCACTAAGTCAGCTGAACCAGCCTTGATTTTTTTCTAGAAGCCACATGTTACTCTGACACAAGACGTGTGCCGCTCTCCAAGTGGCAGCTGTCCAGGCTTTTCTGTTTGTTTAACTGATGAATGCTGCTCTCACTGAAGACAAACAACCACGCATTCAACAAAGCAGACAATTCAAAGATTCACCGTCACCCACACTGAAAAAGAGCTTAAACTGAGAGCTGTAGTCACCGAGGCAGTTGCATAACATCTGTATTACATGTATGAAGAAGTGTTTCGTTATGAAAAAGAGGCTATTTTAAAAAACTGCTACTACAAGACCTTCAGATTAGTTGAAATTATTCCAGACTTCTCATATTCAGACACATCTTATGAGAGTCCTTTAGCTTTGACCCAGGAATTAGAGGAGAACTGACGTCCTGGTGTTTCATCCTGGCATCCCGCTCAGCTCGAGGCGAAGCGCCTGCTGTTGTCTCTCCAGTTCAGCTCCTCACACTGTAGGCTTCCTTTAGTAATGACACCCCACAGATTACATAATTCAGCCACTGCAAGGCCCTCAGGCCTCGACTATCTGCCACTGTAACCACGAGACTGTCAGAGACCCCATCCCCCACTGTCATACACAGTCGCATTGTATCGCTGCGACTTGTTTTAATATACATTACACACAGAAATACTTGTTTTATAGTTAGAACATAGTTTTATGGAGCCACAAAACAAAGTGAACTACATACCAGTCTTTGTCTACACAATTGTTATATCACATGCGTTACAAAACCTTAGCTGAGTCAGGAGATTCTTAAATGGAAAAGCTGAGAGACTCATCGCTTTAAAAGATCAATAAATCTGAGCAGTTTGGTGGCGCACTAACTTGATTTGTTTTACAGCACTGTGCAACATCCACTTCTACGCATCGGATGATTCAAATGACAACCAAAGAGCAGAATCTTTAAAATGGCTTATCAACTGTTCAGGGTTTTTAGTTCGTCTCATCAGGAAATGGGTTAGTACTGCAAGAACGGCAGCTTTATAGTTAGGGTTGGCTTGTTACGCTGCCACAGGCTTTTGTTTTTTTTGAATGTCCAGAGGACCAGATTGAACTTTTTTGGATTAAAATTGAATAGTTTTCATTTGATACTATTTCTATCTTAACATGTGATTCTTGACCTGCCATTGTGTATCTGTTCCTACCAAACCCATCCTGTAGAAGCAGATGGTCCTCTTGTCCTGAGCCTGGTTCTGTTAAAGGTTTCCTCCTCATGGGGAGTTTTTCCTTTCCACAGTCGCCTTCATGCTCAAGATGAGAGTTCTGGGATGGAGTTAAACTCTAAGCTGCTCCTCAGATAAATAATGTTAAATTATTATTTTTAATTATGAATGTTTCTGTTCAGTGCCCTGAGATGACTTCTGTTGTGATTTGGTGCTTTATAAATAAACTTAACTCAATTGCATTTTTTATGCTGCTGAATACAACTTTATATAATGTAAAGTTGGGGTTTCATTAATTGCCATCAGAACGCAGTGAAACAGCTTTTATTACACATGGCTGTAATAAAAAAAGAAATGTTGCCAACCCAACCACTGCCTTCAAGAGGAAGATAAACCAGCTTGGCCAGCAAAAATGTGTGTTTTTGTTTCACTTGTCACTTGGATATGTTGTAATTTTTGTGAGCTAGAAATGTTTGTTCCTTCTTCAGAAATGGAAGCAATTAATTTTCTTGTAATTGCAATGAACAATTGGTTATGTTCACACTCAAGGTCTAAATTCTCAACTGTAAGTCTGCTAAGATCTGATATTTTGTGTACTTGTGCACTTCAGAATTTAAATATAACCTCAGATTCATGTGGTAACGGTCACTGACCCTGATGTGACCAGCAAGCAAAGTGTGATGAGATGATGTGCATGCTGCGTTTACTAAAGTAAATATGGATCCTCCACATGTCAGTGTGTGTGGATCGATTATCAAGTTAGTGTGAATTTGGAGCAAACTAAATTATTTTCTGCCATACTTGTTGCATATAATGTGTACATTTTAACTTGCTGTTTCTTGCCTATTCTGGTGCAAAATTTTGATGTTTACATATTTCAATGATGTAAAGTAAAATGAAATGCAACATGACTGTTCAGACTGAGGTTGCGTTAAAAAAAAAACAGCACATTTGTATCTGATTTAGGGTCACGTATAAAAGTGGTCTTAGTAAATTAAATAAAAAATAAAATCTAATTTGTCATGTTCAGACTGTTGTAATAAAAATCAGATAAGAGTTACCTAAGGGCTCAAAAAGTCAAATATGGGCCACTTTTTTGCAGTGTGAACAAAATAATAAATAAATAAAATATTGCTGCATAAACAAACAAAGTTCAGTCAGGTCATCTGGATGTTTTTTTTATCTTGCTGCATATTTCATTGTTTGTCATATCAGTAAACAAGTTTTAAAGTCAAACATTTTGATGTGTTAAAATGAGCATAAAAACAACATGAAAGGTTATAGATACCAGTGTGTGTGTGTGTGTGTGTGTGTGTGTGCGTGTGTGTGTGTGTGTGTGTGTGTGTGTGTGTGTGTGTGTGCGTGTGTGTGTGTTGGGGGGGTGCACACACCGAAACCAAGTGTGGAGCAGCTCTACAACAAGACAATCTTCAAATTAAATTAAATTACATTAAAGTGGCAAATTCAGAATCCTGCTGGCACTGAAATTAACAGGCTCTCAGTGTTTCCCGAATTAAAATATTTTAGATTCAATTAATAAGCAACACATCAGCCAATCTTTCATAACAAACATGCAAATTAAACAGATGAGAACATTCAAGTCAAACTGCTGCATAAACAGTCACATGTTCACTGAGCTCATTTTGACTAACACCGCCATGTTGTGTGTGAACACATTGATGAAACACTGAACCACCTGTTTGATTTGTGATTACCAAAAAGAGACTCGCATGACATGAAGAGGACATGACATCATGTTGGCAGCACGCTCCGTGAGAGAAAGAATGGCAGACTGATCACATTTGTTTTGGTTTTCTTAGACTGAATACACAAACAGATTAATAAAACTAAATTAATGGAAACTAAAAAAACATTCTTTTTTGTCTTACCTGAGAGGCAGATGAAAGTCGTGTAATCTCCTTGACCACCTGTCGCCAGAAAAGGTATCTTCTTCTTGGTCCTGCGCTTCACCTGTACAGCAACGAGCATCCTCTCATCATGAGGCGTGAAGAGCTCCTTGTTGATGACCGACTTGGCACTCATCTCTGATGCAGACCGGACAAAACGTTCCTGAAGAGGAAGAACGCAAACACAAACAGTCAATAAGTAAAATTAGTGCATCACAATTAAACACATATATCAGCCATTAAGGCCATCTGTACTTTCAACTTGGACTCGGAACAGTTTAAATATAACATGTGATCAATTCTTCCTGTTATAATTCTTCACATTATAATTGGCAAATGATTTAAGTTATGGCTATTTTTGTGTTGTGTGACTTTTTCCATGCTTCAGTCTAAAAGGAAATGTGTACCAGATGGAGTGAAACTCCATTGCGGTAGTTTTGCTATCTTAAAAGGCACAAGAGTGTGATGGACACCAGGTCAAGGTGAGCTCGACCTCTAATATTCACAATCTAATCAGCTCCAGCTCGAGTCCAACCCTTTGTGCAACAAGAGAAAATAATTGAAGTATTTCTGGCAAAGATTTGTTAGTAAAACTGACATGAAAGTTCAGTGGAGATTCTGGACAGTTTATAATTTTTTTTTTTCCTCTACAATTTGTATTTCACAGCCTGTTGTACACAAGTATTTACCATATTTTCTGGCATATTAGTCACAGTTTTTTTGCATAATTTGCATACCCTGCAACTTATACACCAAAGTGACTTATTTATATTTTTTCCCATATTTATAAACCAATTTTTGGCTGCGATATGACTGTTATCATTCATTCTGACATTGAAAATATTTAGCATTTTCAGCCGCTAGATGGTACTTGAGTAATATGGCATGCCGTTGTGTCATGTAATAGGTTAAAAAAAGGTTATTAACAAAACAACTGGACTTTATTCGTAACTGAAGACATTTTGCTTTAAAAAGTTACAAATACAGTCCAATTGTTTTGTTAATAACTTTTTTTTATTTATTTACCATGTCCTGGATGACTGAGAATCTTCACCAGCGTCATTTAATAGGTAAAAGTGGCTATTAATGACACAATCGGCTCTCCATAGCCTGCCACCTTCTCCCAGTTCCGGGATTATGCCTGGAGCAACCGTCCAATCAGCTTCATTTCGCTGCACCGCCTCGACGAAATGCAACTGATTTGATCAATAAAGTGCATTTATTAAGTACAAGTTCAACTGAGACACACCTTCACTATAATGTCAAGTAAACAAATAATTGTTTTAGGTGCTTATCTTGTTAAATTTTGAAGAAATGCTCAGTGTTCCTCCTGCCTGATTTCCTCCTTCTGCGTGCTCCTGGAGCACCGAGGCAGCAAAAATTTTTGAAATACATCTAATTTGACCGTCAAAGAGCATTTATTAAGGAAACGATAAACTGAGACACAACTTTGCTATAATGTTGAGCAAACAAATAATTGTTTTTAGTGTTAATCTTGTTAAATTCTGATCAACGACTTCCTGAGCACGCACCCGCAGCCGCCATTCGGCAGATGCGGGATCTTTGGCACAACACCGGCCCATGTTTTCTGGGTGGTCAGCGGTGACGCATAATAGATGCGACTTGTGCGGCAAAGCAACTTATTAATTATTGGAAATATTTGGACTGATGCAACTTATACGGCAGAAAGTATGGTACTTGATAAGCTAGAATAATTAGGGTTTTAACAATATAAACAAGAGCCACTTGTTATTTATTTACAGGATATTGATCAGAGTCACTAATATTTTACAGCAACAAAAGGACACAAAAGGTCTGCGTTAGTCTGACATCACACACAGTCACACAACTCGTATAAATTTAACTAACAGAGTCTGAAACAGCTGAGAGATCAGCCAGGCACCTTGCTGAAAACCATCAAAGGAGTTTCTTTACTCCCACAGTAAAGGGGAAAAATAAAGTATTTCTGACAAAGATTTGTTAGTAAAACTGACACGACAGTTCATCTGAATGTGTATCAGTTTCACTGCTGTGTTCAGGATCTTAAAGCACCGACGGGGAGTAAAAGGTTCGCTCATCATCTCCCAGCAGCATTTTTGTTCTGCAGACATCACATTCCATAATGTTTGGTTTGGCCTATGTTCTGCTTGGAAGCACTGCCACTCACAGAGACGCAATGACTCCAGCTGAAGCTATTTAGATTACCAGTAAGTCTCACTGATACAGAACAGTAATCTTGTTTCTGTTTTAACGTCCACTACTGAATTTATTTCTTACAGAATGGGAACACATAAGAGACTCAGCAATATATCCAACGCTGTCAGGGAACGATGTGCTTACTTGGCTACTATCTGCAAGTGCTGGTCATAGTCATAAAGAAGTGGGTTTTTCAGACTCAACTGCCCCCACGGGGCTAATGAAACTAATCATTGTCTGAGCCGCACACATTTAAACACAGAGACTCCCAACCACCAAGGCCGGATTAACCATATGGGCAACTGGGCAAGTGCCCAGGGGCCCACGATCTCTAAGGGGCCCATGGCAGTGAGGGCACAAACAAAATATCTGGTTATCTCCTGCTTTATCTCCTGCTTTCTCCTGCTCCTGAAGGAGTGAACAATGCCCCAAAACCCATCTCTGCCTGATGCCCTCAACAAGTTCTATGCACGCTTTGAAGACCCGAACAGACCACCCAGCACCAGACTCACTTCACCACCGGATGAAGAGCATCTCAGCGTGACCTCAGCAGAAGTAAGGAGTACCTTCAGGAGGATTAATCCGCACAAAGCAACTGGCCCAGACAACATCCCCGGAAAAGTGTTGAAGGAATGTGCTGATCAGCTCTGTGAGGTGCTGGCAGACACATTTAACACCTCACTTACCCTGGAGACAGTTCCCACCTGCCTGAAGACTGCCACCATCATCCCAGTCCCAAAAAGCTCTACAGTGAATGGTCTGAATGATTATCGGCCAGTGGCCCTCACCCCGATAGTCGCTAAATGCTTTGAAAGACTGGTCATGACTCACATCAAAACAAACATCAACATCAACGAGGACCCTCATCAGTATGCATACCGTGAGAACCGATCAACAGAGGATGCAATCTCCTCTGTGGTCCACACTGCACTCAACCACCTGGAGCAGAAAAACTCTTACGTTCGTATGCTCTTTGTGGACTTCACATCCGCCTTCAACACCATGATCCCCCAAACCCTGATGGACAAACTATCCACACTAGGACTAAGCCCCTCCATTTGCAACTGGGTCCTAGACTTCTTAAACAGACCACAGTTAGTGAGTATCCACAACTTCTCCTCCTCCACCATAACCCTCAGCACTGGCTCTCCTCAGGGATGTGTGTTGAGCCCCCTTCTGTTCACTCTGCTCACGTATGATTGTGCAGCTACCCATCCAGGCTGTCACATTGTAAAGTTTGCAGATGATACAGCGGTGGTGGGATGCATCACAAACAATGATGAGTCCAACTACAGGCAAGATGTGGAACACCTGGAGAGCTGGTGCAAAGAGAATAACCTTCACATCAATGTGAAGAAGACAAAAGAGATGATTGTGGACTTCAGAAGGAACAAAAACATCTACACCCCCCTGAACATAAGAGGATCTGCGGTGGAAGTGGTCTCCAGCTACAAGTACTTGGGTGTGCACATGAATGACAACCTCAGCTGGAGCAACAACACCACCAGCCTGATCAAGAAAGCTCATCAGAGACTCTACTTCCTCAGACGGCTGAGGCGAGCTGGTCTGGGAAGCTCAGTCCTCACCTCCTTCTACAGGTGTGCAGTGGAGAGCATCCTGTGCTCCAGCATCAATGTGTGGCATGGAGGCTGCACAGCTGCAGAAAGAAAAGCTTTGCAGAGAGTGGTGAAGGCTGCACAGAAATCTGTTGGAATCAGCCTCCCCACCATCACAGACATCTACACCTCCAGATGCAGGAAGAGGGCCACCTGCATCATGAAGGACCCCACTCACCCAGCACACACACTTTTTGCACCACTCCCCTCAGGAAGGAGGTTGAGGAGCATTAAGTGTAGAACCACTAGACTGAGGAACAGCTTCTACCCTGAGGCTGTTAGACTCATGAATCTCTAACCAGAATAATCACTGTGAAAAACAACATCATGTTGCTGCTGATCTGTTTCAATGTTGATGTGTTCATGCGTGCACATCTGCTCACAGACTCATGTTCATGTTTGTGCTGATGTTCAATGTTTTTATGTTATTAGTCAAGTCAAGTCAAGTCATCTTTATTTGTAGAGCACAATTTAAAACAGATAAACTGTTATCAAAGTGCTTAACAGAAATGTAGCAAAACATAGGCAGCAAAACAAAAACATCATACAGAATTAAAATTACTGGAGCAATAACACACACTAATGATCACACTAAGGAAAAACAAGCAGTAAAAATAAACGTCAATCATAAAACAACAGAATTTAAAATGCGGTAACACAGAACAAAATAAACTAACTCACACAGTATTAAACGCCAGAGCAAACAGGTGCGTTTTAAGGAGGGATTTGAACATCAGGAGGGAGGAGGCCTGCCTGATGTTGAGGGGCAGGTTGTTCCACAGGTTGGGACCTCTGACTGAAAAAGCTCGATCCCCTCGGAGCTTCAGGCGTGATTTTGGAACGACCAAAAGAAGCTGGTCCGATGATCTCAGGGCCCGAGACGGAACATATGGTTCCAGGAGCTCGGAGAGGTAGAGGGGTGCGAGGCCATTTAGGCACCTATATGTCAGGAGGAGAATCTTGAAGTCGATTCTGGATCGCACAGGAAGCCAGTGAAGGGAGGACAGAACAGGTGTGATGTGCTCAGACCTACGTGTACCAGTTAAAAGCCGAGCAGCTGCATTTTGGACGAGCTGGAGACGTGAAATGGACGCCTGACTGACCCCAGCATAAAGTGAGTTACAATAGTCCAGGCGGGTTGTGATGAAGGCATGGACTAATGTTTCAAGGTTGGGTCTGGATAACACTGGCTTGAGCTTAGCTACCTGCCGCAGTTGGAAAAAACTTTTCTGCAGAACTGAACTGATCTGTTTGTCAAACTTGAAATCCGAGTCAAAGACCACCCCGAGATTTCTAACAGTGTGCTTGAGATAGGGCTGAAGTGAGTCCAGGTTTGCAGGATCTGAGGAGG